GGCCCCCGGGCCAGCCCCCGGCCTGGCCCCGGATTTTCCCGGACATGTCCGGCTTTTGAGGATTTCCCCCCGGACGGGGATTTGAGTCCCCAAAAGTCGGACATGTCCGGGAAAATCCGGACGTATGGTAACCCTAGTCTCCACAGCAGAGCCAGCCCTGGCCACCCGGTGTTCGGCACATGGATCTGAGCCTACTCAGGGCAGACCTGGGCTCTGGCCTAGGTAGAGAGATGGGCAAATTAGTCGCCCCAACCTTGCTCCCTTAAACTGCCTTGTGAGTTCCAGGTACCGAGCCGTACCTGTGTCAGGCAGGTGGTGCTCTGGGGCAGCGGACAGGCCAGGGACAGAAGGTGCTCGGGGGGGGGGTGCGCTGGAGGAGGGGATGAAGAGGTGCGAGTAAGGACTCAATCACCCCACTCCAGTGATGCAATTATGGGCTGGTTCAGTACCAGTGTGGTGCTGCTGGGCACACCCCAGAATGGCGGCTCCTTGGCGTCCGCTGCTCTGGAAAACCGGAGGCATTTTCAAAAGATTTAATCAGCAGTAAAAGGCACTTGGTCTCTGTAAAGTGGGGGTGGGGAGCTGGGTTGAGGGCTGAGGGAAAGAAGCCCCAGGACTGTGCCGTTGTCCAGCACAACCCCAGGCTGTGCTTTGGCCATTCCCCAGGCCTGGACCATCCATGCTCGGCTCACCTACTCTGACCCACGTCTTGGGGCAACTGACCTTCACCACCTCTGGTTTCTTTCCCCAGCAGGTGACAAGACGCCATCCATCCTGGAGACTGCAGGTAAAGCCCGCCAGCTGTGGCCAGAGTCTGGGTGCTGGGACCAGTTGGGGGCAGCTTAGCCTGGGGGGAGTGCTCAGGAGCAGAGGCCACAGAGCCCCTAGTTGACCCCACCTCCATCTCAGGACGGGGGCAGGTGGAGGCAGCTCAGCCTGGGGGAATGCTCAGGAGCAGAGGCCACAGAGCCCCCAGGTGACCCCACCTCCGCCTCAGGACTGGGGCACGATCTAGATCACCAGGTGCACAATGGGCATCTGGCTCTGGCTGGGGAGTCTTTGGGGAGCTCCTGCTGAGCCTGCTGCTGGCCCTGGCTCCCGAGCGCTGCCCTCATCCTCCCCATGCCTGCAGATAACGTGGTCTTTGCCGAGTGCGGCAAGAGGGACGAGCGCCTCCAGCTGAAGGGCCGTATCGTCGGGGGTCGCCCCGGGAACTCACCCTGGACTGTCAGCATCCGCAACCGGTGAGCAGTGTCCCCAGGGATTGGGAGCCCAGCCAGGGTGGGGCTGGGGCAGGAGATCTGGAGTGTGGAACCCTGCTGGGTCATGGGGAAGCAGCTGCAGCAGCCATGTGCCATTGGTGCCTGACCAATGCTCTGCTGACTCGAAGTGGAGACTCAGCCGGGAGCTATTTGAACTCCATTCAGTGGGGCAAGAGTTTAATATGTGCGAAGCAGCAATGTGTGCATCTTCCAGAGCAGCTAGAGCCTGGCTAGCTGGCATTGCCTTTAATAGCCCCAGCCTACTCTGAGCAGCCTCCCCCCCATGGCTCACCAGGCACAGGCTGGGGGTCAGCAAGTCACCAACGTTGGTGCCTGCTCCCGGGCCTAACAATGCACACTGCAGTTCCCCAGCATCCAGACCCCGCAGGCACTCGATAGCTGCAATAGTGGGGGCCTGGGGACTGGCACTTGCAGAACAACCAGTGGTGGTCACACCTCCTGCCATGGGTTCCCCACAGAGGAGAGAGGGGACAGGCTGAGCTGCACGGAGCTGAGCCCCACGGTACGATCTCACAGTGGGCCGAAGTGCCATACAGACCAGTTACCTCTCTCTCACTGTGGCCAATGTCACAGAGGCAGAGACTCCCCATGGGCCTCACTGTCCCATATCTGATCTGCTGGAGGTCTAGTGCACCCAGTGCTCAGCGAGGCATGGAGATCCGGAGGTTCAGACATTCCCAGGCCTGAATGGACCATCGTAATTATCCAGTCTGACTTCCTTTAGGACACAGGCCAGAGAACGTCCCCAAAACATTTCCTAGAGCCAGAAAACAGCCGATCTTGAGTTAAAAATTGTCAGTAGTGGAGAATCCACAAGGACCCTGGGTAAATTGTTCCAATGGTTAATTATTATCACCAGTAAAAATGTAAGCCTGATTTCCAGGATGAATGTGTCTAGCTTCAACATCCCGCCTATGGACAGTGCCATAGTCCCTTCCTCTGCCAGCCTGAAGAGACCAGGATGAAAGCTTCAGTTCCTGTGCCGATAGTCTGCACATTGATCGAGTCACCCTTTCACCTTCTCTTTGTTACTGCTGCCAGCTGGTGCTAACTAGATTGCCAGGCCCTGTGAGGCAGGCGGGCCGCCGCCTGGACCCTGCCTCTCCCATTTGCTAAGTGCTTTCTGCCCCGCAGGAAAGGAGTGCATTTCTGCGGAGGATCCCTGGTGAAGGAGCAATGGGTCATCAGCACGCGCCAGTGCTTCTCCTCCTGGTAAGGTGTCAGCTGTGCCCTGGAGCCCCTTAGAGCAGTGGGTCTCAAACTTTTTTACTGGCAACCCCTTTCACATCACAAGCCTCTGAATGCGACCCCCACTTATAAATTATAAACATTTTTTTATATATTTAACACCATTATAAATGCTGGAGGGAAGCAGGGTTTGGGGTGGAGGTTGACAGCTCGCGACCCCCCCATGTAATGACCTCGCGACCCCCTGAGGGGTCCCGACCCCCAGTTTGAGAACCCCTGCCTTAGGGGGAGGAAGTGCAGTGTCCTGTGCATGAGCCATTCTGGCTGAGCACATGGCACTGTGAGGGAGGGGCTGGAGCAGGGGACAGTCTACAGACCGTTCTGGACCCGTTGGACTCTGACTGGTCCAGAGATCAGCTAGCTGGTGCCTTTGCGGTGCTCAGCGCCAGTCCAAGGGTTGTTACCATCCAGTCCTCCACGGTGCCGCAGCCAGCGGGGCCGGGCTCAGTGAGGGGCCGGGGAGCAGAAAAGGGAGGTCAGATGGGCCCTATTCATTGGCACCATTGCAGCAGCTGCAGACATCATATAGTGGGTGCTGCAGTGCCTAGGTGGGCAGCGGGCAATAGGAGCCTGTGGTTTGTCCCTTCAACCCCTACCCTCCCTACCTGCAGGCTACACAGGTGTCTGGGCAGCACCGTATTCAGCCGCTGTCAGCCTGGCCTTCCGCCCCGTGCCGCATGGCATATATCAGCCCCAGTGCTAGCCCTTCGGCATGGGCACGAGGGGGCTGCCGTAGTGATGGTCATACACAAACTGTCTGGGAGCACCTTCCTGGGCTGTGCAGCCCTTGTCCTGCAGGGAAGGGCCAGTCCTTGCTCGACCACTCCTAATGGTATGAAAGGCAGGGCCCCAGATATGGGGGACTGTGAGAGAGCCCCTGCACAGCCATAGGGTTGCCAACAGTCAAATCAAGCAAATCCAAGCGCCCTTGCCCCGCCCCTGCCCCGCCCCATCTCCGAGGCCCCACCCTGCTCACTCCATTCCCCCCTCCCGCCGTCACTCACTCTCCCACTCACTTTCACTGGGCTGAGGCAGGGGGTTGGGGTGCGGGCTCTGGGATGGAGTTCGGGTACTGGAGGGGGCGCCGGGCTGGGGGAGGAGGTTGAGATGCGGGAGGGCATGTAAGGTTCGGGCTCCAGGAGGGCGCTCAGGGCTAGGGCAGGTGATTGGGGTGTAGGAGGGGGTGAGGTGTGCGGGCTCTGGGAAGGAGTTTGGGTGCAGGAGGGGGCTCTGTGCTGGGGCAGGGGGTTGGGGTGAGGAGGGGGTGCGGAATCTGGGAGGCAGTTTGGGTCAGGGCCAGGGCAGGGGAGCAGAGTGAGGGCTGGGGGCACTGTGCTGGAGTGATGTGCTGCAGCTTGGATCATGCCTCCTCTGGCAGTGACACTGACCTGTCTAGCTACGAGGTCCAACTCGGGACCCTCTTCAAGGACCCCAGCCCCAGCGACCCCGACAAACAGGCCCTCCCCATCCTGAAACTTGTCTGCGGGCCCTCCACGTCTGACCTGGTCCTGCTGAAACTGGCCAGGTGAGCAGGCTAAGGGTGGCGGCTTGGTGGGCCCGGGACCTCGTGCGAAGGCGTACGCTGGACTCCCACCGCCACCATGCAGCTCTTGCTGTGACAGCCTTTCCCTCCAACTGGGGTGCCCCCTTTCTTTGTAAGGTCCAGCTGGCTCCAGAGATTTCCTGTGCTCCCACAGAGAACCCCCAGGAGCCAGCCGGGGGCGCTGGGGACAGCCAGGGCATGCCCTGCCCAGGCATGCCGGGTGCCACAATGGGAAGGGTGGTCCAAGGTGGTGGTGGTGCAGGGGGCCAGCCCATGGGGCAGGTGTCTGCCTGTGACAGGGAGGCAGGTGGGGTAGTATATGGCCCTGTCTCTGGCTCTGCTTCCCTGACTCCCATGGCCTGGTGCAATGGCTCCGTGCAGGGGCATGCACTAGAGCCCAGCTGGCACACCCTGGGGAGCAAGAGTCAGCTGCAGGCAGGACAGGAAACCTGGGGCAGCGTGGAGGAATCCCCCAGCAACCATCAAATTCGGGGGATGAGGATTCAGCACCCCCAGGGCTGGACAGACCTGAATAGGGCAGTTCAAACCTCTGCGAGTCATTGGCCTGGGCTCCCTGCAGCCATCCTGTTGTGCTCGGGTCACATATGGAGGCTGCTCCAGTTCCGTCTGCGCTGAAGGCCTGTTCCTGCAATGGCTGTAGTGAGGGCAAAGCCTCGCAGTGCCATGCTGGGAGTTGGTTGTTAATGGACACTGGGGGTTGGCACGCAGGGAGTGGGCGGGCATCTGTATGGCACTGCTCTGTCTTGGCAGGCCAGCGACTCTGAACGATCGGGTGGCTCTGATCTGCCTCCCACCAGAGCGGTACATCGTGCCCGAGAACACAGAGTGCGAGATCGCTGGATGGGGTGAAACCGGAGGTACAGACCCAGGGCCAGGAAGGGGGCAGCCAGGAGAAGAGGACTGGAGAATGCCATGTGGGACAGACACCCCCAAAGCCGTCCAGACTCCTTTACAGGCTGGGGCTGTCTGCAATGACACCCCACCTTTCCCAGCTTCCTCCCGCCCTGCCTCTCTACACTACAGGAACCCCAGCCGGATCCGTGCCCCATGGGGCCTCCCCTCTGCTCCACACTTTGGCCCCATCCCCTTTACCACTGCCACATGAGAGCCCAGCCAACGACCCCCTCATGGCTAGCCAGCCTCCCCTCCAGCCAGCCCTGTACAGGCCGGGGGGGGAAGGGAGATGGAGCCACCAGTCCCTGTGCTCTAGCCCCCAGGCCCCTCACCTGCTCGCCCTCTTCCTCCAGGTACCGGCAACAAGACTCTGCTCAACGTAGCCAAGCTGCCCGTGTTGAGCAACAAGGAGTGCAACAGGGCGCTCCGAGGCCAGGTGAAGGAGAGTGAGCTGTGTACTGCGCCCCTGCGAGCCGGGGTGGGGGCCTGTGAGGTGAGCTGTGGGGCATGCTGGGAGGTGCCTGCTGGGGGGAGGGGAGTGCTGGGGGAGAGGGGAGGGGAGTGTCTAGGGGGGCAGGCTGTGAGGGCGTGTTGTAGGGGAGGGGAATGCCATGAGAGAGGGGAGTACTGTGGGAGAGGGGTGGGGAAAGGTGGGAGAGTGCCTTGGAGGAGGGGAGGAAGTGTCGTAGGGGACAGGTTGGGAGGCAGTGTTATGGGGAGGCAAGTGCTGTGCGGGGTGGGAGAGGAGGAGTGCCGTGGGGGGGGCGGGCAGGCTGGGAAGAAGTGCTATTGGGGAAGGGAGGGGAGTGCTGTGAGAGCTGGAAGTGGATCCTGAGGGAGGAGGCCATGCAAGGTGAGGACGGGGAGGAGCTGTGAGGGGGCAGGGCAGGACGGGAGCACAGGAGTGGCGCCAGGGGCCCTGGGCCCTGGACCCTGCACAGTGGCACAGTGGCCTGGCACGCCTAGTCCCTGCCCATGCTGAGGGGCCAGCGCAGGGCGCAGGAGTTGATATGTTCTCTCGGCCCCTGCAGGGTGACTATGGGGGGCCGCTGGCCTGCCTGACCCATGACTGCTGGGTGCTGGAGGGTGTCATCACCCCTATCCGTGTGTGCGCCCGCAAGGACCAGCCAGCTGTCTTCACTCGTGTCTCTCTCTACGTCGATTGGATCAACAAAGTGATGAGGATGCTCTGAGCTGGTGGGGGCCCAGCTCAGGGCCCAGATGGGCAGGGACGGCCCCCAGGGAGCTAAGCACTGCTTTCCCCTCCGCCTGGTGATGGCCGTGGGCTCTGAGATGTACATTCACCCATGCCAAACTGTGCCAAGCCCTCACAGCGTCCCCGGGCAGGGCTCTGAGTCCAGACTGTCTGTCCCATGTGCTGAGACCAAGCCAGCCAGCCCGTCCCTGGGCTGTGGGCACCGGCATTGGGTGATTGCAATAAACATGCTCAAGGTGTCGGTGGCTGTCTCTGTCAGGTGGGCTGGGGAGGGGGGATCCCCAAGGGTTCTGGGGTACAGGACCAGCCCCAAGGACTGGTGGGAGCCTGGGCAGGGCCTGGCAGGCTCCAAGTCCGCCTGGGGGAGATGGCAGCTCTGGCCCTGCCCATTTCAAGGAGCCTCTCCCCCAGGATCGGGAGTGGGGGTCTGACTCCTGAGTTGTGACCCACAGGAGCCCAGCGCCTGGCTTGGTCATGTCTCGCTGCACAGGCTGGGAGCCCCTTGTACGTGGCAGCCATGCGCACCACCAGGAGAGGGCAGCGATGGGCTGGAGTTAATGGTGGGGGGCAAAAGGAGGAGGGGAAAGGTCCTTGAGTGCTTGGGGGTGGGGCAGGAGGCAGTCCCCGGGGGACCCTGGCGAGACCAATAAACACATGGCTCCTGGGGGACATGGTGGGAGTAGAGGTGCTGGTTCATGTTTCTAGGTTTGTCAATAGAACATGAGCTGTGACACCTTCACCCAGAAGCAGGGCAGGGGGCTCTGGGCTGTATCCAACTGCAGAGAGGCCAGAGCTGGGTCACGGCGTGCATGTAGGAGGAAGGCAGGGGCTGGCTCTGGGGCTGTGACTGCCCCACTCTGGGCACAGCCCTGGTTCATCTGGCCAAGCCATAACCGGCACAAGGAGACAGGTGTAGTGTGCTTCAGGGATGCCAGACGCCAGCCATTTACTGTCACTCCCAGTGTCCCGTTCCTCCCATCTGTCCAGCCACCTTCTCGCCGAGCCCCCCGCTTACTCCACCCATCGCGCTCTGGGGCTGCAGCCTGGGACACTTTTTGGGGTACCTGAGATGTCTGGGACAAATCCCTGCCCACAGCAGGAGGGAGTGGATCTGTGTCCACCAAGGGAGACTCCCAACCCCGCCGGCTGCTGGCAGACAGGTGCACCCCTGAGCTCCACAAGCCCTGCTCTTTCCCCAGGCAGGCTGGCAATGTATACCCTGCCACCATGGGACACACCAGTGCCCTTCCCTTTTCTGGACTCCGCCGAGTTACGGCCTGCAGGGAGTCGGGCCACCCGGCCATGGGTCTCTCCTCAGTTCACCCCTCTCCTTAGCACCCACCTCTCAGCTGCATCTAGGAAAACCAGACAGAGGTTTGTTTAGCAGAGCTGGAGCCAGACCCATGGGGCGTGGAAACCCACAGGCACAAATCAAAGAAAAGCTGTACAAATCTGGAATCTGACTCCTGACCATGAGACTTGGCTCTCCCCGAGTAGCCTGGTCTTCCAGCCTGTGGCCAGTTCTGACCACCTCTGTGATGGGTGACTTTGGCCGGTTCCTCTGCTATTCTACAGATACAGGCTGTTTCCTAGCCCAGGGTGCTATCCGTGGGCTCGTTTGTGTGTGTCAGCACTCACGTCTCCACCTGGTCCAGACAGGGATCCAAGCCTGATCTCCTTGGTGCAGCTGCAGCCACCCCACAATTCACCTCGCCGCCATGGACGAGTCTCTGGGCAGCAGTTTTGAACCCCACTATCTGCCATGTCACGCAGCTCCACAGCCACTGCCTCTGTGCACCGCTCCCACCAGCCACGCCAGTCGATTCCTGCTTAGCTTTCAGCAGAGCTCCCCATGGCCCACATGGTGCCATACCTGCCTGGGCATATCTGTGGCACAGAGCCCTATTAGCGCCACCGTCCCTGGCCACATGGACTGCCCCAGTCCCCTCCTCTTGCCCAATCCTTTGCACCACTGGACCCTCGGCAGTGCCTCCTGCTGGCCTGGACTTACCCGCAACACTACTGGTCCCCTTCACCATGATAGTAAAGTTCCCGCAGTCTGTTACCCCTGCTCTTGACCCCACAGCTAGGTTTGGCCCAGGCCTGTTGCCATGGCATACCGTTAAAGTGACTGTGCCAACCTTGGATCCCAGCAGTAGCTGCACTGGACAATCCATTGGGCAGTTCATCCTTATGCCCGCGTTGGTCTCCATGCCAGCTGGAACGTGAATCACCTCCTGGGACGGGGGCTCACCCGTTATCAGGGAGTCACAGGCCTGGTGCTCTGGAACTGCTCTGTATGAAGCCAGCCAGGACTCTGGGGTGGTGTGACTCCCGTCAGAGCACACTGTCCAGGGCAAGAAGCCTCTTTGTCTATGGCCTTCTAAGTGTCTGACCTTGGAGCATTCAGCATCCTTGTTCACACCGTAAATTTCCCCTGGGCGTATCCACCTGGATGGGATCCCTGGCGAAGCCAGCGGGCCCTGCACCCCAACTCCACAGTCAACAGTGACTCAGCCAGTGTATAAAACAGAAAGTTTATTAGTCTAAGGAACCTGGAGTAGAACAGAGCTTGTTAACCCAGAAATCACTGATTTTCAGCAAAGTCCATCTTGGGAGGACCCCGGGCCGGACGCCCTGGACTCCCTCATTTTCAAGTCCCCAACAGCAGACTGCCCAGCCAATCTCCGACATGCCCGGTGCCCCTCCTCCTGTTCTTTGTCTAACTTCCTGCACAAAGTGTCATCTGGTCGCATTCCCCTCCTGGGTCTCAGGTTACGAATGGCACCATCCATCGCGTATGTGCAGGTAGCTGGAGCTGCCTCACCTGGCCCAGAGGGTCTCAGCAAAAGTCACACACCCTGAGTCCCACGACCTAGGCATTGGTGCAATACACAGGGAAACTGAAGCACATAGTAGCTTAGTCTGGAAAGTAGGCCAACCGTTGATTGCCTCCACCTTGCTGGTTCTGGCTTTAGGCAGCCGCTCCCCACCTTGTGGCTCAGGTACGACATCCCTGCCATCCCCACCTTACGCTTCCCAGGCATTATTGTCCATCCTGCATCCTGGAGGTGACCCAGCACCCACTTCACCTGAGACACATCGTCCTCTCAGATCTGGCTAAAGAAACAGATATCATCAATGTACGTTAGGGCAAAGTCCTCCACCCCTCTCAGTAACTGATCCACCAGGCCCTGGGGTGTTGCAAGGGCCCCCTTCAGGCTGAGAGGTAGGACCAGGAACCCAGGTGATGGGAGCAGATTCCAACCCAGCATCTGGGTCCAAAGGGTCCCCAGTAGCCCTTGGGGAGATCCCTGGTAACGTTTCCCCCCAACACTTGTTTAGGATCTTGTCAGGCCTAGGCATGGGGCAATCTATGCAGCGTCTGACCGATCCAGCCTTCCTGGGGACCAGCACGACTGGCTATGCGCAGGGGCTGCAGGCTGGTTGGATCACCCCTAAAGTCAGCATGTCTCTGATCTCTCTCACCAGGTCCTGGGCTAGTTTCCCAGTGACTGTGAACCGGGAACACCACCCCTTCCCCGGTGGACAGTTAGCTTAGGGCACCCAGGCCTGCTGGGGAGCAGCTCCTGCTAGGGACACAGCCCCTCTGCTCCCTGCCGGCCGACAGGAGTTAGCTGGTCAGAAAGGGTAATTGATTCCAGCAGGAGGCCCTCTCCTGTCTCAGGGAAGACATCCACCAGTGCATTTCCCCTATCTTCTCTTCCTGCACACACATGTCTCCCTGTATTGGCGGGTAGCAATTGATTTATCCGGGATCGATATATCGTGTCTCGTTAAGACACGATATATCGATCCCCGAACGCGCTCACCATCGACTCCGGAACTCCACCAGAGCGAGCGGCGGTAGCGCAGTCGACGGGGGAGCTGCGGCCGTCGATCCCGCGCCGTCTGGACCCCAGGTAATTCGATCCAAGATACTACGCTATTCGCGTAGCTGAAGTTGCGTATCTTGGATCGATTCCCCCCCCCCGCCCCCCCCCAGTGTAGACCAGCCCATAGTATGGCTTCATTGTGTCGACATGGTACACTTGCCCAATTGGGCTGCACCAGCACATGACTCACATTTTTCAGCTAGTTGACGGTTCCACAGGACCTGTCCTAGGCGCCCTTCACACTGAGCTAAGACCCCCTCTTCTGATCCCCTAGGAGCCAGCACGCTGTCGCACCAACACTTCTCCTCCCTTTGGGTCCTGGCTAGGTTCTTCCTGGCCAAGCCCAGGGGCTCAGTGAGCTTTCCTGGTAAAGTTCATTCTCCACCACCGATTTCCCATTCAGCTTCCCCTCCCATTTGTCTTTTATCAAGTCCAGGGGGTCCTCTCCCTTTCCTTCCCTACAACTTGAAAGGGTGGACCCCAGTGAATTTCTGGGGCAGTGACCATGCTGCAGCCCCCTCGCCTGATGCGCTGGCTCCCCTGATGTTTGGAGAGCTGGACATAGTACTTCTGAGGAACCACCAGCTGCCCCTGATTCCACAAGGTTCGGTTTTCCCAATACTGGGTCTCTTTTCTTACAGTGATCTTTCTCTGCAGTCCTTCTCCGGCATCTTGCAAACACTGGGGCTTCCAAGAGCCCTCAGCTTCTGCAAGGAGGGATCCTTCCGCTGCTCAGTCTGGTGTTTAGCCACAAAGTCTCTTTGGATATGGCCTTCCTGGTCTGATCTCGAAGCCTTCAGCATCCCTGTTCTCACCATGCACTTCCGGCAGCGGGTCCACCTGGATGGGACCCCTGAGGAAGCCAGAGGACTCTGCACCCCAATTCCACAATCAGCAGTGAATCTCAGCCAGCGTGTAAAACAGAAGGGTTTATTAGTTGACAGGAACACAGAGTAAAGCAGAGTTTGTTAGCACAGAAATCAGGAACGTTCAGCAAAGTCCATCTTGAGGGGACCCAGAGCATGGAGCCCCTTGACTCCCTCCTCCAGGTCCCAAATAGTTGACTGCCCCTTCCAGCTGCCTGACTTCCGACACACCCATTGCCCTCCTCCCAGTTTTTGTCTTGCTTCCCAGGCAAAGTATCACCTAGTTGCCTTCCCCTCCTGGTTCTCAGGCTATGAAGGGCACCGTCCATCACTTACGTGCAGGCAGCTGGGTAGCATCACCTCCCCAACCCCCCAAGGGTCTCAGCAAAAGTCACACGACTTTTTTCCCACCACTTAGACATTGCTGCAATAGACATGGAAACATTCAAAATAATAAGACTCACTGTG